ACGAGACGCTTAATTAGATCAATTCAACATCCCATCCCGCTGTATCAGGATCATCTTTACATTGTCGACATGATGAGCAAGAGAGAAATTTGGTGGTTACCCTGCTGTCACAATTTGAACGTTTTTATTTTACTAGAGCAGGTTAGGACTTAAAATAAACCTTGCTGCGTTCAGTGCACCTTTTAATATACTCATTCCGTTTTAAACAGCTGCACAACTGTGCAAATGTTGTCTGAGTGCTGAATTTAAGTGCTTAAATTCATACTGACTCAAATTTTATGTATTTGTTTTGAAGTGACATACAAATGAAGCAGCAGTTCATACAAAATGATGAATTTAGGAATTTCTCAATCCCTGTTTTCCTTTTTATAGATTTAAATCCTACAAATTCAGATCAAACAGGACTAAACATATAATGAAGGTAAGAGTTTCTGCAGTTTTCCTTTAGAAAACACATTTTGATTGAAAGTTGTACATAATTTGGGTTGCAGTTTGACTTTTAATCATTTTAATCTCAGTCATCTGACGCTAAATGTTTGCCGTTTTTTTCTCTTTAATTGTTTTGTCTTTAAAAATGAAACATTTCTGACTCTTTTTGTCTTGTTCCTGGAGTCGACTTGCTTTTTTTATGTTGTTTTCCCGCTGGTTGCAGTCAACGGGGAGAAACCTGGCAACATGTGGCCTCCGTTTCTGCTCAAGAAGAGTTGAGTTGCCCTGGCTGTTTTTCAGACTCGCCTGACCTTCGACCTCAATTAAAATAAGACCTGATTGGACTTCAGCTGCTTTAATCTCTGTTTTACTTGTTGAGGAAAACGTCAGCAATTTCCATTGTGAGTTTATATTATTAAGTGAAACCATGGCTGAGATTGGCTTACTCTTCCAAACGAACATGGGTAGTTTGATCTTTTCGTCACCTGAGCGTATGCGGTATGTGCAACTCTAACTTGAACAAAATGACCTTCTGAGGGTTTGTTTGTATTTACATGCACTGTGTTAAGTTGCAAAGGCAAACAGAGAGCCGAGCACGAGCACAGAGCAGACGAAGCAAGGCTTCGTCAAAGTCAAGCGCTTATTAAGCGAGCGTGTGAGATCTAAACACGCACGGCAAATTGTTGTTGCTTCGCATAGAAATGTGCTCTTATCTCAGTCTCACTGCGTGCTCAGGTTAGAAACGCCCGCTGCAGTTTTTGAGCAAAACTACAGGAAAAGTCAGGGTTACATAGTGCGGTTTGCAACACCCACACCCGGGATCACAACTGGTACCAGACGTCTGTCGGCTAAGGGGTGGAGTCACTGGCTATGTCACAAGAACGGCTACTTTACAATAAACGGAGCCGCCATTTGTAAAATCTCACAACAACGACTGTTGTGAGATTGTGAGTCTGTCAAAATGCCACAAACTGAGCAGGATGTGCTGCATACAGATCCCATCAGGCTAATTTTTGAGCACTGGGGCCGCCCAACATGGCAACCCCACCCACCGGAGCAGTCACCCGTTTGTAACGGAGAGCAGAGTGGAGCGCAGCCCGGTCGAACCCCCTCCCTAATGGAATTGGGCCAAATGTGACAAGCTAGCTAAATCGCTGTTTCTTCAAATATAGGCTACATGGTTTTCCACCATTTTAAAAAGAAACAAAAATTCAACTAGCTTCAGACGAAAGCATAAGACGCTAGTGAAATAGCAGCAAACTCTCTTTTCTGACAAGGTGGCAAGTCATGGCTGGATGTTGAGTTTGTTTGCAGTGATTACCTTCAGGATTAGAAGCTCAGCTTGCTAGCAAGTTTCAGTGTAGCATTCAGGCTATTGCTAAGCTACCTAAAGCTGGATACAAACTGATACTATTTATTTTAGCAAGGCAGCACAGGAAGCTTTGACCGCCGCAATTAAGCTGATCATTGCCAACAACTTCCTAGAGTTAGGAAGCTCGCTAAAGCTGACTTTAGCATTAGCACTGCTGCTAAACTAGGTTACAAAGTTTTATTATGGGCCTTAGGCTTTAACTGATATTGCGTTTATGTACTTATTGTTCTCTGTTGGATACTGCAATGAAAGGGAAGAATGGCTGACTGGACTGAACAAACATGTTCATTAAATTATTTTCAAAATAAGGCAATATTGTTATAATTTAACCATTAATGTGCATCGCATTTACAAACTAATACACTCAAGTGAATTTGTATGTATAATTCCCTCCAAATCCCCTTTTTACAGTGTAAAGTCTTAGTCCTTGTCCTAAAATAAAGACAAGTCATCAACAATCTGTCTGCCTGTTTCTTATTCTTTGAATTAGATTTCCATTTATCCTGAAGATGAGAGCTATGATGTTATGACAGTTTTAATCCGAAAAAGGACTCATCTTTGTTTCAGCTGATATATCTATACAAACAAGAGGAATCTTCTGCATAACATTATGAGTGTCCAGTGGAATCAGAGCAAGGAAATAAAACACTGAAGATTTTTGTCCCAGGGTTTTTTCTTCTCCTCTCTTTTTTTCGTTCTTTTGCCCCTGCATTGTGACTCTCACTCAACACCTGCACTGGAAGCAAAGAGGGTACCATGAAAGATTTTCAGCCCGAGTGAAAGGATGGACGGACTGAGCCAAGAGCTCCAGATTAGTAAACCTGTAAATGGGTTACTTTTACCTCATAGTGGAGCTATTGTCATGCGATCGCCAGAGAAAGTTGGGAAGGGGCAGCCAGATGGTGAGCAGCGATAAAGTCAGGGTGGCACAGCGGAGCTTAACGCCACAGCGGAAATGTTATGCTGGTGTTTTGTGCACAGGATGCTTGTTTAACTAGCCGAAGCTCATGCCACCGTCTCTTGAATCCATATGTCCACTGGACCTGTTGTGCATTTAATCTGTTTGGTCGAACGGAAAACCGTAAAAACATTTGAAGTCAGTTTCGAGCAGCGAGTGACTTACTTAAAAGTGGCTTGTTACGAATGTCAAAACGTTGCATGAGTATTAATAAATAAATAATAGATACCAGTATCCTCTCTGTCATTAAGCCTTTTTACTGTGCAGCAGAACAACAAACAGCATGCGACACCATCTTGGGGTTTAACAACGCTCCGCTACTGGTGCCACTGTTCATTAAGTTCTCAGGGCTTCACCAGATACTTTATGTCTGGTTTTTGAAAATGTGCAATCTATTCTTTTCTTTTTGAACAATACGACACATGGCTAATTGCTGTCAGAAACGAAAGGATTTATATTCATTGCAGGAAGCATAAAAAACATGTGCTTTTGGGATGAAGTGCAACAGATGGCATATTTAAATTTACTTCTTATGACATCATTTTTATTTATCTTATCCAGTGCATCGCGACCTTTGGGACTCATTTAAAATCACACACAGAACGCAAATCAAGTTTCAAGGATCGGCCCGAGGTTAAAAGATACCTTAAGAAGAACCCACTTCGACATCAACTTAAATTCGCACAGTGCATGTAATCGCACCGTCCATTCATCCGTCACCTACACCCTCTTATCCCAATGCGTAGGACCTTCTGCCTCGCAGCCATAAAATTGTTGTGTGTAAAAATCAATGGGTACTTCTTCCCAGTTGATTTATTTATGAGATAAAGCGACATGACTGATGGGGTTGTCGAACAAAACGCCTCCTGATACATCGTCGACTTAATCAAAAGTTGATTAACGAGTTAACCGTGAAATAAGCTGGTTGCTCTGCGACGACATGCAAAAACTGACTGTGCTTGAACCATTCAAAGGGGAGCATTTTATGTTTAGGAAACATTAAAAAAAAAATGTTTGCGTTGACAACAGAGTGCAATGCTAAAGTTTAAGGTATAAAGCCTAATATGAGAAGAATTGTAAGACCTGTAAATCTCAACATGCATTAGGAAAGATTTAGGGACATCCACACGAGAAGTCATTATCTGGAGCACGGTTTGCGTTGCGACCACATAAGCTGCAAAAAGATAAATCGGAACAGGATAGTTTGACTGAGTTATTTCATTTTAAAGTCTCTAAGGTGTTGAAAAATGATCAATTATATTAGTTACTTTGTTTTAACATAATTCTCTCATAATTTCACAAAAAACAAACAAAAAAAAAAAACACTTTTTCCACTTTGATATTCTTCCCACAATCTCACAACAAGATGAAGTTACATTTTCATATTTCTGTCTATGGATGGTTTATACTCTATGTGCTACTTGGGGAATTTCAATTCATTATTTCAATTAAGCTGTAAACAAAATGAATGTAGCTTTAATTTAGACGCACATAAAAAACAATGCAATTCATGCATCAAACCCATGTACACAATTCAAGCTGACTAATTTATCAATCAGGTCTACCTGAACATTTCAGTTGAAAACTTTGTCTTTTTGCTCTGTGAACTGCAGTGGAGCCCCCAGCCCCCAAGTGAACTGTGCCCAGGCCCTCATATATCCTTGGACCGGCTTTGGCAGAACAAAGTGGCAAGCAAAACACGCACCAAATATAAGCAGCTTTCGCAGGGCATGAAGACGTTGGCTGATGTATCATGATGTCGTGTGTTTGTGTTTTAAGCTGAGCCATTGCAAAACAGGAAAAGATGCAAAAACAACAACAACAAAAAATGTAAAGAAAATCTCAGTCTAGGCGATGGAATGTGGAAATACAACTCAGTCTGCCGCTATTAATGAAGGTATGCAGGATCGGGAGCTGAGACACTGGCTGAAATGATCTTGTGCAACAACCAAAAAAAAAAAAAAAAAAAATGAGCAGAATCTTTTGACATGAAGCAAATAAAACCTCTCGCAACAAGCAAGTGGGCTCTACGTATGACTTTTTTTTCTAAAAGTTGATGCATCTAATTTTGATACTGAATTTTTTTTTTCAGTGTGAGATCAAAGGGCACTTTATATATATATATATATATATATATATATATATATATATTATTATTTATTTCCTGTCAATTTTACAAATCGGAAGGAAAGCTATGAGAGAGGAGGGAAAGAAGAAGAAGATAAAAACCAACCAACTCACCCTAGTCTGAGGTATATGATGCCAAAACACAGGAACACGTAGAGACTCCACTTTCGGAGGGGTTTGTGCATGATCGGTAGCACTTTATCCAGAGGCCATGCACTATTAACACAAAGTGGCGTTCGCATCTGCAGCGGTCCTAACCCCCCCAGAGGCACGAATACCGCCTGGTTCCCGTCGCGTCCAGCTGCAGCTCCTCGGGGATCCTCGGCGGCGACAAACCCATCGTCCAGAACAGGTTGAGATGCTGAGAAGAGTTCCGAAACGAAAGCTGGGAAACGGGACCGCAATTTGAAGAAAAACGAAACAACAACAAAACAAACAACAACAAAAAAAGGTGAATGAGTTCTTGGGAGGAAGTGGCTCCTATTCGTCCTCACTTCAACGAAACAAAATTCTAATTAACTTGTTCTCTCTCCTCCCCCCACAACCCTCGGTGCGTCTTTAAAAAGGTAGAAGAAGAAGAAGAAAACAAGGAGAAGGGGAAACACTGCTGTCTTCACGAGACTGGAATCCAAACTCTGTGAGTCTGACTTGGAAGAATTTCCCCTCAAACTCTCGGCATGTTACGACCGTCCAACAGCCAGGTACGTCTGGTGCAGGTAACAAAAGGGCTGTGCGCTTCCTCCTCCTCCTCCTCTTCCTCCCACTCCTCCCCTACCTGCACGAGATATGCAGTGAATGGGACGGGCTTCCAGGCCGAGCTCAACACGTGTAGTTGTTATACAGAAGACTAACGAGGAACGAAACGGAATGGCCTTTTTATAAGCCTTAACCGGGCGCTTGCAACATCACGGCGTTGCCCCGGCAGTGTGGGCTCTTCCCCTCCCGCTGTGGCCCCTCCGCCCCCCGGATGGGGCCACACCACAACAGTAAGCCCAGTAAAAATAAATAAATAAATAAATAAAAACCCAAATGGCTTTCCAGCTGTTTGCACTACAAGACAACACAGCGCTGCATGAGTAATAGTGAGTAATTATGATGAACTGGCTTTTCTGATAAATATGTCGCATCGGTGCCTTTTTCTGTCAGACCCACTGGGGGCTGGAGGGGGGGAGTCTGGAGAAAACAGATTGTTGTTTCTTATTGAGTTGTGAATTTTGTCCAGATGTAGGAATAAATCCCTCGGGGTTTTCATCACATAACTCCCTCTGCTGGCAGTGAGACCTGTGTGTTCATTGCGTGAGGTCAGTTTTGGTTTGTCATGCTGAGTTCCTTAGTTCATTTCTTTTGGGTCCATTTTTCCGATACTTTTGAGATTTGTCGTTGAGAGTAAAATAAAACGAAGACACTTTTTATATATCCCGTTGTCCTTGTGCCCTACTGGTGCGTTTAATGAAGCCGAACCGAACGGCATGCAAGCTGCCACCTCCAACGTCCTTGGTTGGTTTTGATGCAGTTAAAAAACAAAACAATAAAAAAACAAAACAAAAGCCTTCCGGCAATATAAGGCTCAGCATATATCAAGTGGAACAATGAAGGAAAAAAATAATAAAGTGCAATTGTCGAATTCAAATTAAGATTGTGAAAGGGAATTTATACACAAAGGCCGGCCTACAAAAAACGAGGAGGGGAGGGAGAAGACACAGAGACAAATAATGCATAAATATAAACAACTAATTCAAACGAAAACATTTCGACTTTAAGACAACTATAACAACAAAATAACCTAACACCATAAGTGCTCTAGCAGTTATGGTGTTAATAGAGAGAGAGCTGCCAGCAGCCTGATGGCTTGTTCCACTTTCTGGTTCGCCTTACAACCAATCATCTTCTCCCAGCCGGTCCTTCAAACTCAGCAAAACAAAACAGTTCATGATCTAAATAAACATAAGGAGTTTACTAAATGTGTGCCCCCAATTTAGTAAACAACTGAATGCAATAACCGCCACCAAAGAAAAAGTGAAATTATAAATATATTGTGTGAAAACATTTCAGTGAATACTAACACATATTGTCAGCTGCTACAAACGTCACCGTCTGTTATTTTGATTTTATGTGATAGATTAAAAAAAACAAAAACAAAGTGCATACATAATTATGAAGCAGAGAAAAAAACTGACATTGTTTTTTATAAATAAAATATTATTTTGTATTGCCCATCCTTTAATCCATTGCCGCTAAATACAATTATGTGCAACTATGATTCCTTAAGTTCCTTCTAGAAAATGATATCAAAGTTTTATTTTAAATGCAGAAAGATCTTTTTTCCTACTTCATGTGCTGACATCCTTTAAAAACTGGGGGACTGGTGAAAATCGCAATTATCAGGGAAGGCCTCAAAGAAAATTTACCATTTGTGCAATCTGTATCAGTACTGGTATTGCCACTGGCCTGATCAGTGCATCTCTGGTTACACTGTAAAATATATATTTAAAATATCCCCCAGTGGTCTTGTCATTTTTGCAATTTGCCACAATCCATGTAGAGGTCCTCAGGGTCCAGGGGCTTTAACGTGTTTTAGCTATTTCCCATCTCCCACACACACATAACTAAAATGAATGGATGATTCTTGAGGATGTTGACGATGTATTGCAATCACTTGACTCATTTGTGCTGGAGCAGACGCTCACCTAAAACCTGCTGGGCCAGGATTGGGGACCCCCGATGTCGGGACCAAAAACGTGAGAGAAGCTGGAGGGAAGGACGTCTTTCTTTTGAGAGATGCAATGGGACGATCCAACTCCCAACTGAGAATCTGTGGCAGGAACCGAGAACGAACGTTGACGCTTTGTAAACAGAGTCAACCTGCGTAAATACGTGTAAGAATATGTGCCAGTCGGATGAAACCAAACTGAACTTTCTGGCTGACGTGCAAAACTAACTCCACACACCGTCCGAAATATATTGACCCCCTTCAGGGGGATTCCATGTCTGTGATGCTTTCAACGTCTCAGACATTAAATAGGTTTTCACAGACACACACTCCTTCCAGTCGGACTGGGCTCAAACCCTCTTTCTGAGGAAGGACGGGGAAAATCCTTCCAACTCTCGACGGGATCGACACATACAGTAAGTGAAGCGGGGTTAGCTTTTCAGTCTTAACTTTTGCATTCTTTTCATTTTCATTGTCCAAACTTGGCTTCGTAAAATAACGCATGACACGACTCACCCTTTCCAACCATTAAAAAAAAAAAGACATGAACATTTGCTAACGTGTTGTAATAATGACAGCATAAACTAAAATTACAGACATGAGTTTCCTGAGTGCACAGACTGTGAGGCTGTTGTTCAGCATGAGAAACAGACAAAACCGCAGAGACCTTTTGTTTCAAGACATCCCCGCTTTTATTGTCTTGAGGCCTTGTTTCGTTCAAAACATGCCCATCAAAATTCCAGATGGATTTTCGAAATAATCAAAGTCAACTCCAGGGAACCAGGGTGACATAAAAAAAAAGACATCCATTTGATGTCTACCCTGTAAAAAGATGGTGTTGTTTGTCCTCGAACGTTCCTAAATCACAGGCCTGGGTGGAGATGGTCCCTTTTAGTTTAATTAAAATGTTCAAAGGCCCAGCTCCGTTTTTATGGTGGCTGGATGAAGACCGGGGACAGTGTGTCGTCATCGCGTTGCTGTCAACGGCAGCATGGTCCCGGGGGCCCTTCCTGGCTTTTTTTTTTGTTTTGTTTTGCACTCGCTGCGGCGACTGAAGGCCCCACAAATCAAGCCGGAGACACAGGCACTGTTCGTACTCGCAGACTCTCTCACACGCCGTAGCACTTGGGTGGTATCTGGAGGATCCTATGACACACTGTTTATTCAACTTCAAAAAGCTGAGGCAGGGGATGAGAGCACTCGGGTTAGAGAGGACATCAATCTGAGGACGCCACATCACCGCGCGTGCTTCACGCTGCACATACAGGCCGTTGCATGTGAAATATTTCCACTTAGAGGCTTCTGAAAGGAAATCATTGTCCTTCTTGGACTTTTTAAGTGTCCGCCAAGCTTCCCCCCCAACTCCCTCCTTTCTTATTCTTTAAGATTGCAGTGCATTGTTATTAATCTGCTCGGATCGTATTTTCTGCAAACGTTAAAGATTCAAAGACTCGGAAGACGAGAGAGGAAGATCACACTTTTGGCAAGCATGGGTACGCTACGCCGCTTCTGTCTTTTTGAATATTATTAAGTACTATTGACCGACGACTAAATAAGAAAACCCACCGGTCGCCCATGTGTTTGCATGGGAGCTGGTTCAACTGGAAACAGTGAGAGGGCTGAAATGCAGAGCGTGCCAAACCACGGAGTGGCGTCTGGGGCTGGGTCCACCGCATCTACTCTGGGCCCCAGGCAGGAGGGGGAAAATAGTTATACTTTGCTTGCAAAGTCCCCCTTTCCATCTCCATCAGACATCTCAGTAGAACTGTTCGCTCTTCTTGAGTCTTACACTTCCTCAAACTTTTCTTTTTTTTTAACTTTGTAAGAAAGTGACCGGGGCGTCAAAGGTTAAACCAGCCAACGACAGTCTTCCTATACTTAACTGTGCCTTTGACCTTCAAGATGTTCCACCGCAGCTGAGATATGGACACCCAGTGTTGTGTGATTGAATCCCGGCTCACTCACAGGAGTAGCAGGTTTTTCGACACTTTTACTCCAGTGTTATGAAACGAGTACCACCTCAGTAAATAACACATTTTGAAAGTACCGCGATCTTGACAGACTTTTTAAAACAAAAGTGCAACTAAACGGGGGCTTTCTTTAAGACCTTATTACAGCTTTGACCTCATGGGCAAACAAGAATTTCTCTTCATCCAATTTTTGCCTTCCACTCAGAGATGTGCAGTTTTTACTACAGCCTCATAGGGGTGGCACCGTGCCCGTTTGTCCGATCTGTACTCAGAGAGGAAGAAACAACGACTAAATTGATTTTGCACAGAGAGATAAATTATCAAACATGAAAAACAGCAAATCTTCGCACAGTGTATTTCTTTTTAAAACATTGTTGTTGTTTTGCTTCTGATGAGACTCATTCCTTTCTTCAGCTGTTGATGGTTTGGCGCCACCCTTTGACCACAACCTTTATTGTCACCATTGGCAGTTAAAAAAAGGGGGTTACAAAGATAAAAAAAGTTTGCGTTACAAAGATAAAAATTTTTATCTTTGTTGTAGAGTAATACTGGACGGGTTAATAACAATTTGTTGTCATCAGCCATAAAAGCAAAAGAGAACAAAACAAAAATGTGAATTTTGTCATTTTTATCCCTCCATAAAACTGTAGATTGGCATTGGATAATGTAATATTATGTTATGTTTAATTTTCACTGAAGTCAGTCAACTTATTTTACAAAACACATCACTAGAAGGTGTAAATCCAATTGGGAGCTGAAGGTTTCTCACCAAAATATGGTCAACTTGGACATTTTTTGGCAGTAGGTTTGTTTGTTTTCTTGTGCAGTTTTGCCAATTTATGTCTTAAAAAAATCTTTTACACACATAGTACCAAACAACATTATGTTTTAAGGTACAAAACAATGAGAAGCACATTGTTAGTCACTGCATTGTCATCAATTTAGCAGCTCAGGTTTTAAAATAGGTTATCTACAGCGCCCAACACAACAAACAGAGCTTGTTCAAAGCCTCAACTTGTGCTCAGAGAGGGATTAGTCTTTTCTTCCCCAAGTTAAATCCTTCAAATAGTAATTTGCAATATTTTTTGTTTACATAAAGTCCCCTT